CCATCTGTATTTATACCACTATATCTAAAGAGGCGTTCAATCTTTATAAAATTCATACAATAGTAACTTAAAATTATAACATTTCTTACCCGAGGGCTTATTAGGATTATTTTTAATATTTAGACATGCTTAAATATTAACGGGGGCCAATCGGCACTGGGGAGGAAACGGCAGGGGCGAAACGATGGGATCGAAACGTCACCATCCCGCACAGCACATTTGTGGACTGGTGCATCTTATATCCTAATGTGTGGATATGAAATTCACAATATACAAGTATATTAGAATCAAGTTAGTTAAAATGACGATCAGGAGAAAAATGATAAAATATAGTTTTTACAATTTGGAAATAAGTAGTTAAAAGAGTTGGGATTAAGACAAAAAAGTTCCCACCCCCCCACCCCTAGAGTGCGTAAATGCCACGCTGATAATAATTCATGCCGCGGACATTTTCCTTATACGAAAGCTTGCCAGTTATGTTTGCAAGATATGGAAATTCTACATGAAAAAATGACAGGCAAAGAATTTCACCAGTTTACCAATGAGAATTTCTTTACCATTGAAAACTCACAAGCACTGGTGTGGCGTATGGTCTGATGTGACCATAGAGCAGACATTAATGAAAAATATGAAATGTATCGGGGGACTAACTCACAGGCGAGATTTTATTGAGACTGTTTTGAACAAGTGGATATTCGGATTATCAGCATCTTATCACATGTGTGATAGTATTGAAAAGTTCTGTCGCATCGATACAAAAAGTAGCTGCACGATGCAAGAATTGGAAAGGATGAGACTAACTGTAAAAAATGTATACTGTGGTCAAATGGCATTTTTTTTAATTTAAATTTTTTGACTACGGGAACTGAGACCATTCGCCAAAAAAAATGGCATTAAATAAGCCACTATAGGTCATTCACTGAATTTACACCCATATCGGATTAAGAAACAGATACACGACTGAGCCGGTCTACAGGATAATTTCGCATCAGGTAGTTGAGTAAAATAAGCGTAGTCCTCCAGTGGGTAGAGGGTGAATATATTTTAATTATTAAATACTTATATAGTATGTAATCATGTTTATTAAAATTAAATTACTAAAGTAATACACGAAAAAATGAAAATATTTATAATTTTGTTTTGGACATTGTTTATAGTAATACCATTTTCCCCGAATACAATAAACGCTTTATGGTCAGGAATTTCCGGAAGTCCCCTTCTCAGGTATAAAATTAAGATTAAATGTTCTATTTTTGTACTGATGTATAGGACTAATTGCGCTAAATTATTTAGTACAGTTTTGGATTTCGAAGAGAACATATGTCGAAACTGAAAATGCCGAAGCACGTGTTACGTGTAGATGACTTAATTTGTAATCTACATAACTATTTTACGGCGAAAAAAGGTAACGGAGGACCTTTAAAGCCAGTAATGAGTGTGCATGAACGCATCTGTACAGCTTTCGGTATTAGTGATTCAAAATTAAAATATGTTTTGAAAAACGTCAAAAGCGGAGAGAGCAAAAAAAAAGAAAAATACACACCTCGCAAAAAACTGAAAACGTCGGATATATCTGGTGGGACAAAATTTCGTATTCGTGATATGGTGTATGAAATGCGTGCGAAAAAGGAACATGTCAACTTAGACACATTGCTGGCTAACTTAAGATAAATACAAATTGGTGAATTTTGCAGAACAAGTCTTTGGAAGTTGCTTAAGGAAATAGGTTTCAAATTTAAGAAAGAAGATAATAGAAAAGCTTTATGAGAAAAAAATAATGTTGTTCACAAAATAATACATTTTTTAAGAGAATACACTCGTTTAAAAGATAATGAAGCTTCGTTTATATATTTGGATGAAACCTGGATGTTTTCCAAAGGTGGGACGAAAAGAATATGGCAAGATGAAAATATAAAATCAATAAAACATACTAATGGTGAGGGAAAGCGACACATAATCTTGCACACAGGTGAAAAGAATGGATTTGTGGATGGTGCAGGATTAATATTTTCCTCTAAATCAAAATCAGAAGAGTACCACGATAACATGAACTCGAATATGTTTATCAAATGGTTAAATGAAAAAACCAAATTTAAGTGAACCGTCTGTTATAATGCGAGCTATCACACAGAACTTTTAAACAAACTGCCAAGACAGAATTGGACTGTAGCCAAAATACAAGAATGGCTACGTAACGAAAATGTTGCATTTCCACAATACGCCCTTAAATCTGAGTTGTTAACTTTAGCCAAACGGCATGAACCACCATAAATTTATATGGTAGATCAAGTCACACATATTTATGGACATGATGTGTTAAGGCTTCTACCGTACCATTGTCAGTTTAACCCCATCAAACACATTTAGGGTATATGTAAAACATAATATGACGATCATATTGAAATTAATGGTTACAGCGACGAAGCAGTAAGGAAAATATGGAAACAAGCACTGGATACATCAACCCCAGAAATTTGGCAAAAAAGTGTTCAAAAATCTGATAAATTAATTGTACACGTGAAAACAGGATAAACGAAATTAACCCTGTAATTATATCCCTTAATGATGTCAGCGACCTAGTGACACAAATTTTGAGAGTGATGCTGAAGATTTATAGGTATGTCAAAAGACAATTATTTATAATAATCACTGTTTAATATAGAATTTTAAACGTTATGTTATTTTTAATCATTGTACTTACTTAATCGCAAGGTAAAACTGTGTATGTAAATTAAAATTTTTGTTCTGAATAAACTATTATTAAACAACAAAATCATGTAACTCTCTCTTTTAAGCTTCCTGATGCAAAATTAAATACCTAAAATTTATATTTATTTTGTTTCTATAAGAACCCCTTGCAATATACAAAATAACGCAACCCATGAGTAAATGTTTAAAATACAACTGACCAGTCAAATCTTTCTTTTATTTCTTAATCCGATATGGGTGTAAATTCAGTGAATGGCCTATAGAAGAAAATTCAACGTTCGGATAATTTAAATTAAAGCGAAAAGATATAGTAAAAACGATGGCTTCCTCAAATGTCTCTGTTAAAATGAAAGCACCATTCAGGTAAATACAACGCAAGTATTTCAAAGGATTGTTTGTACAGCCAACTCAACGCAACGCAGTTGCAGATTTGAACTTTCTACCATGCCTTTCTCGTTATTTGATGAGAAAAACAAAAAATCTGCTCTTTTTAATCTGTTTAACACCATTCCTGAAAGAACCATCGATTTTACTAATTGTGAGTTTGTTATTGACGGAGGTAACTTAATTCAGCATGTTGTGTGGCCGCAAGAAGGTGTCTTTAAAGATGTTTACAAAGCCTTCCTAAATTTTATAGAAAAACGGTGATGTTCGACGGTTATTAACAGAATATATCTAGCACAAAAGACATCGAAAGGCAGCATTGGTTGTTAAATCTGAGTTTTCCAGACTTGGCTTTTTGACGAAAATACGCCCTTAAATGTTCCGCAAAAAAATATTCTTAGCAACCTCATCAACAAAGAAGGGCTCATATGACAAAAGAGATATGGGCTTGGGATGTATATTTATATCATTAAATCTGAAAAAGGCATTTGATACTGTGAATCACAGCATGTTACTTAGAATCCTGGAAAATATTGGCAGTTTGAGGCAAATAACTTGATTGGTTTAATGACTACTTTGAGGGTCCCATCCAATTATGTTCATGCAAATGGTGTGGGTACTAATGTGTCAGTTGTTGTATGTGGAGTACCACAAGGATCAATACTCGGACTAACTCTGTTCCTAATTTATATCAACTCCATTTCTAAACTACCACTCAAAGGTGACCTTCGGTTGTTTACGGATGATACCGGTATAACATATTTTTACAAAAATAAAGATCAGATAAAAATGATGTCGAACATGACCTGCTCCTTACAGAGGATTGACTTAGTTATTATAAACTATCTTTAAACAAAAATAAATCAAACTTTATGGTAATTTCTAATGATAGTGAATGTCATCAAATAATGTCAATTGGTAATGAATTTGTAAATAAAAAATATCTTGCTCTATTAATAGATGAAAAACTATCTTGGTTACAACACATTACCTATATTTGCAAAAAGATAGCACCTGGCGTTCTTGGAAGAATATCATACCCATCTATAAACTACAAGAAACTGTGTCAATTGTCATCGAATATACTTGACAATTATTTGGAAATGCACCTACAATGTAAAAGTTCAACTACTGCAAAACAAGGCAATAACGAAAAGTTTCAATTTGCCACATTTATATCCAACAGCAGATCTTTACCTGCCTAACAAGATAATTGATATTGGTTCAATCTATTTATATCAAGTGTGTGCACATTTACGCAGATGCCTACACAATGAAATCAACTCAAATTTACACCTTTTTACCAACAAGAAAATCCATAACCATAATCTCCGTAACAGGAACAAATTGAGAGCAGCATCAATGAAAATATTCAATAGGACGGAGAAGCTTATTAAGTAATGGTATCCTTATATAACAGGATCCCTGAAAGAATTCGATGTCTACCAGCAACATCCTTCATAACTCAACTAAAGAAATTGATATTTGCAGGTTTCTTCAAGGGCAATGCATGAACTAAATTCTTCTGATACATATCTTGTAATTCTTGTTTCTTGTATGTATTTAATGTTAATTTTTTAAATTTTGTTTTCTATGTAATTAAAATGTCTGTCTTGGCCTGGAGAGCTCGCATAGTGTAAGCTCGAGCTCATTTACAATATACATCTTTTGTATAAATTTTTTAGTTGGAATAAATAATAAAAAAAATAACAATGTGCTTAATTTTAAGGGAATTATGCTAATTACAATCGAGGATGATGCTGATTTGTTAATTATTAAAACAGCTGTCGATATGTCCTTCAAATTATTGTTCATTTGCCTAGTAGGTATATTGACCTGAATGTTTTGCAAACAAAAAATTTCAACTTTTTTGAAGCTATATTTCCACATGTTCATTTTTTTTTTAGCAACCAGCATAACAAAGAAGGTCCTTCCTTATTGGATAGTTAAGAATTCGTGGGGCAAGACATGGGGCGAACAAGGATATTACAGAGTGTATAGGGGAGATGGTACTTGTGGTCTCAATCAGACACCATCCAGTGCCGTTGTCGTTTAAATTCTCATATTCATTAGTAAAATGCAATTGTTTAATTTCTTGTTTCTTTTTTATTGAATGAAGTATTTTTTTACATAATAATAATAATTATTTTATTTTTGCTTCAGTTGACTTGGCGGCTAAAAATAAATTTTAGTTGAAACAATTGGATTCTAATATTTATCATGAACAAATTAATATATTGAAATTAGAATAGTTGATCTGATTTTTTTTATTTCTGTTTTTTACCAGTTTTTAGATAAATCTTTATTTTTCTTTTAAATAAAAAATCTTTTCTTTTTAATTGGCGTTTTATTCAGTTTGTTTATATTTTTCAAATTTAAAAAGAAATATTTTGTTATTGGTCTAATTTAACAACTACAATTACACGAGCTTTGTTCCTTGTTGCCATTTTTGTCAGAAACTATTGGCAATTTTATATTATTTGAGATTAATTTCGTAGAACGTAGGAAAGCAGTCATTAACAACGACATATATTGAACATCTTGCTATGAAGGTTTCAACCCATTTACAAAGGTTTTGGGGGTAGTACTTTATGAAGAAATCTTGACCTGTCAAAAGCTTTGTTAAGTCGGCTTTTAATATAGATTTTTTCCAATGTAACCTGCCTAATTTGCCTATTTTTAGAAACATGGTTTTATTGGCCAGGAAATAGAGTAGATTTACTTGTGAAAAATTAGAATACAGCTAAAACTTAGTATATTGGTCCAATTCGAGTTGAACCCCTTTCGATTGTTTCTTTGTCACAAATATCCTGTTGATGAAGAGTGGATAAGAAAATTTACTTTCAGATTGGCCGTTTGTGCGTTTTCAAAAAATTTAAGTGTTTTTAAAACATTCCTAAAATATGCAAGCCAGATAGCCAGAGAGTAATTGAAAGGGGACCATCAAGACATCAAATTGGACCAACATACCAATTTGTAGCTTTATTTTAATTTTTCACATAGCCCCTGTCCAAAACGCTTCATTACTTAAGTTTTTTATACCGATTCAAATTTTAGTTTACGAACTATAATTTTCTCACCCCTCCCAATTAAATACTCATCATTTGCATCTCATGGATTTCTGCACAAAATTGATAAGTTTTTCTTTTTAGCCTATCCTATGTTTAACAAAACTCTTCCTTACTGGATTGTAAAGAACTCTTGGGGCAAAAGTTGGGGAGAGCAGGGATATTACAGGGTGTTCAGAGGAGACGGTACTTGCGGGTTGAACGAAACTCCTTCTAGTGCCATTGTAGTGTAAATTTTTAAGCAAACGAAAATGGTGACAATTGGATTTGAATATGTATTGAATTTAAAAGTAATATAATATACATATCCGTATAGAATTTGAAATTATTAATATTTGTATGTTTTACACTGTATTTTGAAATGTTCAGAAATATAAATAAAAATTATTTAAACGTCGGATGTTTTATTATTTACATAAAATAACACTAAGTATTTGATAAAATATAAATATTAAGTACATTAATGATCCTACTATCTAATTAAAACTAATTTATAATATAAAATATAATTAAAAATAGAATAATCGATTTTAAATGTGTAAAATGGACAAAAGAGGTAAACAATATAATGAAGAAAACTTGGTAAAAACGTCGTTTGTGATGTTGATATTTATTTGTATAAAATAATTAGCACTTATTTGCCAATCTATGGTTTGTAAGTATTTTCATTTTAGTACACGAAAAATGGAAATGAATGGAATGAAACCAAATTTTTCTTACTTCATTGGATCACTATACTACGATGATAAATGTAAAAAGTAGAGAGGGTCAGAGTTCGCAAATCTCCTTTTTATTTTCGCTTTTTTGATTCAAAAATATTTTTTATGCTAAAACTGTAAATGGATAAGTATATTCTGTAAAAAATTGGAATGAAAATTCGATAGGAGTGGAAGATTCTGAACGAAAGCGTATTCGAGCGTGAAGAACCACAAGTATCGGATTTTCATTCCAACAGAGTAACGAACTATAAATATACTTTCTCCATGGCCGCATACAGAGTAGGAGTTTAATATAAAACTAAACAAAATGAAATATTTCATCTAACTTATGTGAGGCAAGTTTTTACTTAAATCATTTGCATAATTTGTTAGTGTAATTGTTTTATGGTGCAATATTTTATATGGTTAAAGAGAAATTGAGAATTGGTATGAAAAAAAAAATCTTATCTTAAAAAATTGATCTGTTCCCAGATGGTGTGTCTGCTGGGACGTCGATTTCGTTGTGTACATAAGGTTTATATTATATCCTTGTTTTTCTGTTTTTGCTTAAATTTATTTGTCAGCTCGTTTAAACGCTGTTGTATAGGTGTAATCAGAATCATTATATTCACCCATTTCTGAATTTAAGTTCGACTCAACAAACGCCGCATATCTTTATTCAGGCAAATTTAAACAAAATAAAATAGGTCTCCTAGAACTGCCAATCATGAAATTCATGGCTACATACGATGGGGGCGTGATATTTACAGCCAGCAGCTATTACAGAATGAACATTGTCACTAGTTTTTTTTTAGTTTTACATCCGTCTGTAGTCTGGCCGCACTGCAGCCTGCGGCTTATTGTATCACCATTTGAAGGCCCTACTACTTTCCCATTCACCAATTCATTACCTCATTCATCGTTTTTCATTCCATGTCGTCGATGGTTAAACGTCAGTCGGCTAAGTCCCATGGTGTCACCTCCCAATGATCACTCGTGGTCGGAGAAATCACTTAACTGTTGCGAGAACGTGGATGCACATTAATCTCGCCTAGCCTCTCCGGCGTCACTAGAGTTAGAATGAAATACATGTAAAATACATTCATAATTTTCCTTCAATCTCAAAGAGCGGGAATGTTTTCTTTGTGTTATTATAAGTGGTTTCGGAAGAACTACATTCAGTATTGGCTGTGGAGGAAAAGTTATTCTGTAATACCAACAAAATGGATCATTAGTGCACAATGACTCGATATTTATATGGATTTAAAGGTATACTTTAAAAGTTTTTTTACTATACAGTGTTACGCTTTCGCCTGACAAAAAAAATATAAAATTAATATAATAATCTTTATATAAAATAAACGCATTTTATGCAGAATGAATACATTTTTCATAGTGGTAACTCTTTTTTGCATGAGTAGGTATGTAAGTTACAATAATTTATACTAAGCCAAAATATTTAAAAAATGCATATACAAAATGAAAATTAAAATAAAATGCACATCTAAGATCTTTGGAGCAGCTTTATTAAACCCGACTTGTTTTTTCCTATCCTATTCGCTTGTGACAAATTGGCCTTACTTCTACGGTCTCTTGGTGTTTTCTTGTGTGTCTTGATAAGCTTCTTGCTGTTAGCCAGGAAACTACTTGGTTTTACCTATGTTGTTTTCAAACTTCTTCATCAAGTCTTTAACTGAAGTTGTAATTTCGTCTTTATCACTCTCTTTAGATTCCTTATTGATATCTTCCTTAGATTTACCATTGGTGTTGACTTTTTCTGACTGGGTAGTAGAATGACTAATCTGATCCATAATATTGTGAACGATTCTTTTTTCGCTAATTCATCTACCTTCGAGTTTTCATTTTTGTTTTTCTGGCTTGTGACTATTAAAATACCTAGCGATAAATTTAATATTAGTGTATTTAAGTGGTTCTTCATATTCATCAGACCTAGTAACCTCTTTAATACTTCTGGTATTGGTTTCTATCTCAGGAATTTGCCGTTTCTTAGCCAAAGCCTAATTCTTTTACATTTTGTTGTTTATAAATTTTGGAAATAAGGAGGTTATCTTCCTTAATTTGACCGATCCGATTCATCCATCGACAAGATCTTCATTTTTCCTGAATGCATTTTTTACAGATCTGTATTCACTACAGAAGGAGCAAACGTCGGAATTGTCTTCCGAGATTTTTTTTGTCACCATCATTCTCTTATTTGAGACTTCGATTGAGCTTAATGGCATCTCATCTGAACTGTAGTCAGTTTTATTCCCCATCAATTCATCATGATGATTATAATCTGCACTTGCCTGCCTCATAGTGCAGGGCATAGTGGCGCATTCGTTTGCAAAATTGTTTTAATTCGTAATTTTTTTTTTAATGTCCGGAAGGCTTTCCTGATTATAAAACGAAAAATTAATTAAGACAGAAAAAATGCATTTTTTGCAATGAATTAATTTTTTTTATATTCTTTAGGATATTTCGAATAAAGAAAGTCCTTACGCCCATCATCATATCTTTAACCCTTTAATTGTTATGAATGTTTTAAAATCCGAAATTGACGAAAATGTAATTTTCTTGAATTAAATAATATACCTTAAAATTTAAAATGCTATAATTTTAAATTTTTTACCGAATATTCAAACTATAATAAACAAAATAACCTAAATAAATTTTCAAAATTTTGTTTGTTGTTGTTTTTTTTACGTTATAACAATATGCTTCCTACGCGCGTGTACTTTTAGAGAGAAGTACTTCTATCTCACTTCCAACTCAATGTATAAGATGGGTAAGAGAACGCCCGATGACGCGCTGAATCAATTTTTTGCTCTTTTTCAGAGGTAATAAGTTTAAAAAAATTATTATTAATATTTTTCATAACACTTTGTTATATTTGCCGATTAATAGTTTTATATCATATGATTTTTTTTTTACTTTTTTAAATACTTTTGATAACTTTTTTATTTATTAAAGTTAACAGAAACATTTATTTTTATTCATGAAAAAATTATTGTCAGATACTGCCTGAGAAGTAAAATCTTCTTCAATACGATAAAAAGGCCAAAATTCTACCTGTTACAATGAACATAGTAGGCTTACTGGGGTTATAAAATTTTATGATTTCAAAAATATCCAAGCCTTTCTCCATTTAACAAAAATAAGAAAAAAAAATTTTCCATGCACGTCGGATGCTTTGAAATTGAATACTTTACGAGCTTCGTTTCAGACTTATATTTGGAGGAATTCAAATTAATTTCAATATGAACCTTTAGATTTCTCTGGTTTTGGTTATGTTTTCTGTAATAACCAAATAAAGCCACTGTATTTAACAAAACCGCCATTACCTGAAGACTTAGCAAAACCGTGCAACTGTAAAAAAAACTGTGCAACGAAAGCTTGTTCGTGTCAAAAACTAAGCATAACGTGTGTGGCATTATGCGGATGTTTAATTGAATGTTGCCAAAATCAATTTCATGTAAAAACTAGTTAGATGTACAAACTATAATTTTATGTAAACATTTTCTTAATAAATGAATATTACTATTAAATAATCATAGTGGAAAAGAATTAATAACCATAGAAGAAAATTGAATACATATATATTGCGTACTGTTTTAAAATAAAAACCAGGTGAGGCAACTATGCTCATCGTAACAGGTAGAAATTTCCCTTGAATTACGGCAGGTATGTTTGTCTTCTTTTATCTTATTGGAAAAAAGTGAGAAAAATTTATTTTTTAGACAGCTCTTGGCTATGATTTTTTTTTGTGGATGGAACATTTCTATTAACTTCAATGAATAAAAAAGTTATCGAAAGTATCTAAAAAAGTAAAAAAAAATTACATGATACAAAACTATTAATCGGCAAATATAACAAAGTGTTATGAAAAATGTTAATAATAATTTTTTTAAACTTATTACCGCTGAAAAACAGCAACAAATTGATTTAGCGCGTCATCGGGCTTTCTCTTACCCATCTTATACATTGAGTTGCGAGATAGAAGTACTTCTCTCTAAAAGTACACGCGCGTAGGAAACATATTGTTATAACGTAAAAAAAACATAACAAACAAAATTTTGAAAATATATTTAGGTAATTTTGTTTATTATAGTTTGAATATTCGGTAAAAAATTTAAAATTATAGCATTTTAAATTTTATGGTATATTATTTAATTCAAGAAAATTAGAATTTCGTCAATTTTGGATTTTAAAAAAATTCATAACAATTAAAGGGTTGAAGATACGATGATGGGCGTAATGACTTTTTTATTCGAAATATCCTAAAGAATATAAAAAAAATAATTCATTGCAAAAAATGCATTTTTTCTGGCTTAATTAATTTTTCGTTGTTTAAACAATAACATCAACAGATATCGAGTGTCATCTTACACTTTTATAATCAGGAAAGCCTTCCGGACATTTAAAAAAAAAATAGGATTAAAACAATTTTGCAAACGAATGCGCCAGTATGCTCTGGTCTATCACTAATTTGGGTTCGAGATGTATGATAATTTGCTCATCACTTTTTGATAACACCTTGTAAACTTTTGAAATAAGAGTGTTTTTTTTTAAGCAGCACTTTTGGGGAAGCGTTCAAATCTTATTACAATTGTTCTTTGGTAATTATGGAATTTTGTGTTTTTTGTAAAACCTGTTTTCGGTGCCTAGGATTCAATTTCAGTAGATTTTTTGTAAACATATCGCTGTCGCTCGTTATTGCAGCAACATACTCGGGGGAACTTTTAAGATCAGGCTCGAGCATTTAATAAATATCATCTTTAGTATCTTCAGTTTTTGGATTAATGGGATGCGTATCTGAAGAATATTTTGGAAATTCTTCAGTCGTTTCAATGGTTATGAGATCATCTGTGAGTTCGATAATGATAGGTTTTACTCTGTAAATATATCTTTCTTCTTCTGAAGCAATATAGGTTCTTGATACGTGTTATTCTTGTTCTTTTTCTTGGGAAAGGGTCTTACTCATAAATTGTTCCTTACTTTCAGGTTGCTGGGGTGGCCAAGGTAAAATTGTCATCAAGTAAATAGAAAATATTTTTCCAAATAAATATTTTTACTTATTTCCAAACTTTATAATATTAAACATAAAAATAATATATAATTTTTTTAAAATTTTAATTTAATTTTCCCTAAAACGTAACAATACTCAACACAAGTTATTCAACCAAAATTTTTAGTCCTATTTTTTATTTTCGACTTCAAACTCTACTCGTATATAAAATGAATATTATTAAGTTTTAGAATTAGAGCTATAACATACTTAAGCAAACTTTTGCCATTCAGATATCACGGAAGCCGAAAAAATAATTATTAAAGTTTAAAATGTTGCCTTGTATGTCCCGTGGCGTGTTCCAATAAATCAAATGTCTTCTTTTATTTTCCTATTAATCCCATCTGGATGTGAATTGTAAGAAGAGTGAAATACAATAATAATTAGGTGTGTCTGTTCTTTATTTTAACAATTCTAGACAATGCATAAAATGGTGTGGCAGCTAAATAAAAAGGGTAGCGTCTAATAAGATTTACTGATAACTGATAATATAATTTAAAATTTTGTGTAGTTGTTGATGAAAATTTTAAATAAATAATTAGCTAGCAATAATAAAAATTCTAATATATAACTTTTTTTTTACTTGGATAGATGGTTAGTTTTTATAAATTAAAATGCAAATCAAAAAATATAAATAAATGTTTTAAATGTGACCATAATTATAAAGGATTAGTATGTTTACCTAAATCCCTCGATTTCATTAAGCAGTACCCCATGCATATAAAATATTTAGAACTTCATATATGTTTCAGTTTGAAACTGAAATTGAAACTGTCCACAAGTCAGATAAAATAATAAAAATACAATAACTGACAACAAGAAGACGAAAATATTCGCCTTCTGAGTATAATATTTGACAACTTTGTAATAATGTGTAGTTATTATATTGGCCGGTTTTAGGCGGAAAAAATCAATATTTTAATACAAATTTTCTTCTAGACGCATAATTAAATGGATGAATGAATGTTTTCTTAGAAAAATAAAGACCTTTATTGTTTCCACGTAAACAGGATTAATAATTAAAAAACTTCAACTGTGTATTAGGAAAAATGCAAGTAAATTTTCAGCAACTTTCGCAAAATTTTTAACTCGTTAGATCATTTTTTTTTTGACGAATGAGGTTTATCGAAACGACTGATCTTAGGTATGCAGATCTACTCATAAAAAATGTTAGGTATCAAATTCCTCGTCTATAAAAAGAAAAATACAGGGTGCTTCATTTAAAATTATCTAGAAAAACCACTTGAAATTATGAATATTCAAAAATTAGGTGTGACCACCCTGTATACTTAAAACGGTTACGATTTGATGCAATAATTTAAGACTATGGCTAAATATTAATTCATACTTATTTCACTTTTTCTTAGTATATGGTGCTGACAAACGTAGAAATTCAAAAATGTAAAATTTGTTTTACTTCCCAAAGGTGCTCTCAAATCCAAAAATTTAACAATGGATAAATTGTCGTCTACTACTTCTACTTATGTCAAAATATATAGGGCGGTCCAAAAAAAGCAAGTGTTCAATCATAATTTTGGGTCGAAAATGCGAGTTTATTCGTTAGCTGGATACCTGTAATTTAAACAATTTTGAAATATGACAATTTTATTACTGGCTCAATCATTCTCTAATTTCAAAAAATGCTCGGCAACTCCTAAGGTTAAATACAGTATTACCAGATAATTCTAAAACCGAAATAAAATTCACGATGTTAAATTTAATAAATATTTTGTTGATTTGCCAGGCAAAAGCATAACACTATATCCAAAAATATTTTTAAAGTGCACCTATTGCAAATGCATATAACTTTTACTTCGAACTCATTGGCGTTTCTATAACACAAATTGAAATATCGAACAATAATATTTATTGTGTAACAATTGGGCAGTAGATAAACCGCTAATTGAAACGATCCCTTGGGGATAAGATACTTCTGGGTGACTATAATCAGAAAAGATCGAAATCCTGTATGTCTGAGCAAGGGCGGACATCGCATTGCAACAGGGCTCCTTACCGGACATTGCTGATTAAAAGGACACCTTAGTAAAATGAGACTAGTAGAAGATAGTGAATGCAGATTCTGTAAGGATAATTAAACCTCCATTCACATTCTTACTGAATCTGTAGCACCCCAGAATCCAAGGGCACTATACTTAGGAGTATAATAAATAAAAGAGGGAGATCTACCCAACTTGGAGACACTCCAAATCCTATCGAGACTATTCCCTTACTGCATTAGCGGCAGAAGAGGACACAATAGATCTTATAAGTGGAGTATTATTACCCCACACAAAACATCAATTTTGTACGTATTTAAGAACTAAACAACTGTTCCATTTAGTTTTATTATAGACAAATATTTTTGATACAAAAAAGCGAAATAAACGATATTTTGGGAACTTTGGTTCCATCTACTTTTTTGTATTTATCACCATAGAGTAGGGATCCAATGAAATACATTGTTAAAAATATTGTTAAAATTATAATACAAATTTTTTTATTTTTAGTTTCTTTTATGGTCACCTCATAAATCATGAATTAAAATCTATTTTTATTGTGTATTCTATTTGACATTCCTTATTCCGAGAAAAAAGTAAAGTGGATCAGATCATTTTGTATACATAAAATATTACAAATGTTTCTGCTGGTATTTAATATTACAGTATTGATTGATTAATTATATGAAGGTTTATTACTAATCATTGAACATTAATAATGTTCTGCTTTATTTTTAAATATTTTATTGTTATGATTTTATTTGCATAATTATTTTACACAAATTTTAATGCCTAATGTATGTGAATATGTCGAAAGTAAAAAATCTTCAATCAGTCAAAACATTGCAAAATATTTTTTCAGCTACCTTTGTAATCGAATCTAATACTTTAAAAAACTTCTAAGCACTATTAAATATTTTAAATTGCAATAATACAGAATATTTTTGTTCTTAGTAATTATATAAGATTACTATGAAATTATAAAATATTCTTACCCAAATACATTTAAGCTACATAAAATGGAACTAGAACCAATTTTTGATTGGTTTTTATCTTATGGAGGAATTTCTTATTGACTTTGATTAATTAAATTTATTAACACCTTTGTATATAATTAATAAAAAGATGATTTACAATCATAAAAAAAATTAATAAGTTAAAAAATAAAAGTTATACTTGTACAGAAACAAATTAAAAATACTTAATATGTTTACACTTCACTCCCTTACATAGTTTAAATGATTTGGGACAACCTGATACTTTTATTTATATGCAGGTGGAGTTCCAAAAAACTTCCCTTCCCTCTTTTTTCTAAATCTTCCTTCGGACCTAGGTGTGTAAAATCTGGAAGCTGTTGGTCTCAGCAAGGAATCCGTACTAGGAGTCTGCTGCAGTTTGTGCGTAGAAGGTGTTAAACAAACTTTTATAAAGTTTGTCCAAAAATCACCTGGAATGTTCAAAAGATGAGCCATCACCTTTACAATACTTCTAGACTCTTCTACTAATTTATCAGGGTCTCCTGAGTAGCCACCTGATGAGTAACCAACTATTGTAGGTCCAAATACTTTTGCTAAATTGTCTGTAGGCATTTTACATTCAGGGGATTGTGCTACTTTTTGTAAATGCAATATCACAAAAGCCAAAGTATCTCTATTTGGTTGAGGTAGTCGAGAGATGGTTTCATACAAAGCAGGAGCAACATCATTGGGATCTGTGGATCTTATAGCTGTGACGAAATCTTGCCAGAGTGTCTGGGTTAAAAGGGGTTCTGTTAGAGACCGTAAGAAATCTTTTAGGCAGCCGCAAATTGCGTGAATGTCAACTTCTTTTAAATTAGGTGTCAACCGACTGGTCAGAAATTTCTCTTTTAAGCCTAAAAACAAATAATTAAAAAATAATAAAGCTTATTTATATTAATAAGAAACTCTTACCTTTTACATCCTTTTCAGATCCTGGAATTCTATAAATACCTAATTCATTTAAGCCTCTTTGCTCAATTTCATTAATGCAGTGAACAATGAGAGCTGGGACCATGGGAGGACTTGTAGGTGTATAGTCGGCTATAGTACCAGTGAATTTCTTTGCACTGGGCGTGTTCATAGCTGGTACACAAGGTGTAGGCATCAAATCTCTACACTCCATATGGCACATAAGGCGGCATTCTTTACATTTAAGAGCAGTTTTGCTAAAACGAATGTTCTTTTCACACACAGAACAAGTGTTTGGCATTACAACGATTTTTGGCTGGAATGTATGTTGCCTATAATTGCTATTGATGTCTTGAAATTGGCTGCTGACTTTTTCTTCTAAAATAATTTTGGAATCAAATAGAAATAATTTTTCAAGACATAAAATTTTGCAGAAATTATGAAGAGAAAAATTAAAACTAAATAATAAATAAATTTGAGTTTTTCTAAATAACTAGTTTGTATTGTATCAAACATTTGAATCTACACATAAGTCATCCAAAATGTTAAGTTTAATAATTAAAATATACATGGTAAGAACAGAAAAAATTTGTTGCTCTTTTAAATAGAATTGCTCTTAATCTACCATTAACGGACTTTAGCTGGTTACTCAAGGAACTATGGATCACAGGATGAATACCTAGATCCATTCCTACATAAAGTGTGTTTCCATGCCCTGTGAAGCAGACAAACAGAAAAGCTCCACCCAGGCATTAGAATAGAATAGAATTTATTGATCTCATAATGTCTAGCTAAAACTGGAACATTTAGCTTAAATATTAAAATTAATCAATAATTTAGTTAAACAAATACATTAATGTACAATATACAAAAAAATATTATAAAAACTAAACACACGCAGATACATAATACAATTAAAAATTAAGATCAAACAAAATATATGTTGCAGTTTATATTCAAATATTTTTCAATCAAATATGGACATATCAATGAGACACTTTTTAGTTTTCTCTTTAAATGTATGCACTAAGGCAATATCTTTAAAATATTGTGGGAGACTATTATAAAGTTTAATTCCCACTAGGTATTTTAGGTGATTTCTTACAAATTTCTACACGCTGTTAAGGTTTAAAGAGATCTGATTTATATATTGTATCTTGGGAATGAATATCACTATTCCATAAATAATTATCTTTTATTTATATGATTAAATCCAAAATATAGAGGCCATACACAGTTAAAAATTTTCAAGTCACTAAAAACAGGTCGACATGAATCTACAACATCGAGAGAAACTATCATAGACAAGAGATTATCATCATGTCCCATAGTCAAGCAGCCATCAAAGCGATGAGCTCTTACGTAATCAGCTCAAAAATGGTCTGAAGATGCCTAGAACAATTGAATGAGCTAGGCGAGAAAAACAGAGTTACTCTCAGTTGGGTCCCGGGACATAACGGGGTACAGGGTAATGAGATTTCAGATAGTCTTGCAAGGAAAGGGACTCAAACACCCATTGTAGGACCTGAGCCGTTCTGCGGTATCAGCAGTAACATAATATTAGGAGAGATTAAAAAAGAATTGGGCAGTAGAAGAACTGATAATTGGAACAATCTCTTGGGGCTGAAACAGGCCAAGATACTTCTGGGTGAATATAACCAGGAAAGATCGGAAGTCTGCATCTGCCTGAGCAAAACCAGGCTACGTATTGTAACAGGGATCCTTACCGGGCATTACCGACTAAAAGGACACCTAAGTAAACTGAGAGTAGTAGAGGATAGTGAGTGCAGATTCTGTAAGGAGGAGGACGAAACCTCCATTCACATCCTAACTGAATGTGTAGCACTCCAGAATCCAAGGGCACTATATCTAGGAGGATATCAAATAGAAGAGGGAGATTAATAATAATATAATAATCATTTATTTAATAATTAGGAACCCCTAATATACATATAAAACACAAATATATATAAATACAATATACAATTGCCAAAAATGGCAGTTATTATTTAAGTAAGAAATATAAAAAAAAAATAATTAAATTCAACACAGTAAAACAATCGACTTCAAAGGCATAAAAAAGAATTTACATAAATTTACGATAAATGAGAACGAAACATATTACAACACAACAAAACTATCCGATATTCATTAAAAATTCTTTGATCTTTCTTTTAAATACATTGAGAGAATGTGAGTCTTTCACAACTTGAAGCCACTTCAAATCCTACACTTCCTTGAGAAGATAGGATTGGAAGGGTCGTTACATGCATTGAGACATTTCCTTGGTGCATTGGCGACAGAAGGGGGTACAACAGATCTTTTAAATCGCAGTGTATTAACACACCATTCCCAACATAACATGAATCTACAAATGAGATGTTTGAAATACACCTTAGACTTCTTTTCTGTGACAAAAAAACATCTTTAACATGAGGAGAACTCCTCCAAATATGAATGCCATAACTAGAGATACGTAATTTTCGTTTTTACGAAATAGAAGCGATAGATGCGAAATTCATGTAATTTGTGCGATAAATACAAAATATAATATTTTGTGTATTTAATACTGTTCGACGAAATTTCGAAGAAAAACATTTTTAATATTACGAGCCTTATGCACGTTGCGAACGCGCACCGCCTGTAGTAGTCTTATTTAAAACTGCGAATGCAGAACCAGAGCAGTCTTGCTCTTTAGCAAGTGTATATTTTTTAGACGCGGCCAATGGTTCCACTTGCTCACAAGTTATCATGGACACCTTGCAAGCTTACGACATTGACTACTCTCAAGTGCAAGGATTAGTATCAAAATCTGCACGTTACATGCAGTCAATGTAATACTGATTGGTGACCATATTTTACACTACCAATGTTGGACACATAAAGTGAATCTTGTAGGTGACAACTTTATAAAAGAGTTTAAAGAACTGAATGCGATTGTAGCCAAGACGATGGCAGCTTTTTTGCGCTCAAGAAAAATGAAAAGTGCTTATTTGAACTACTTGCAAGAACACGCTCCGCGACTGACTCCGAACCTTTACCCCACGCCAGTTGTAACTAGGTGGAATTGTTGGTTCAAATCTGCAATCTATTCGAGCGAATATGTGGAACATATTATTGTTTTTATGAAGGACTATGAAGACGATATAATGAGTACTAGTTACCTGACGGACTGTTTTGAAAATGAAACTCTGTCTCGCAAAATACGAGTTCAATTGACATTCGTATCAGAGTTCTGTACAAAAATAATAAAAATAATTGACAACTTGGAAGGGTCAAAATATCGATTCGCGAACATTTTATGGAGCAAATTAGAAGATTTAAAGTCTTCACTTAAGCGACAACGTGAAGGTTCGTTTGGAGAAAAAACTAGGAAGCATTTTATTAAACGAAAATGGTGATTTCCATCAAGAGCACAGTATTATGCTGAAGACAGCAGCACAGAAGAGCTTGGATAAATTGTCTTCACATATGAGGTCCAACCCAACAAACGATTCCTTCCTGCACATTGGCAAATTATTTTGCCCATCAGTAGCAGTGGCCATAACCACATCGTCTCTGGACACTAACTCAACATTGGAGAGCTTCTCCAGAATACCATTTTTCAGGGATATATCACAGGATGGACCCTTAAGTGGATATGCTCATTTCCATAGACAACTCGTCAATGTGGTTCAGCAAGAAACTCCTGTTAACGTCATGCAAATTTTACTTTCATCAAAATGATGCTACCTGAGGTTCGTGAATGCAGCTATACAAAGTCTTCATAGCCTAGTCAACAGAGTAGATGCTGAAAGATATTTCAGTATCTACAATGTCGTCATAAATAACCGAAGGCAAAGGCTAGAGCAACAAAATATAGAGACAACCACGATGTTAGCTTTTAACTAACTTTTCTGTAATAAATATTTTATTTTAATGATTATGGTTTTTAAATATTTTTTTATGCGAATAAATGCGAAATTTTGGATTTTTAATTTATATTAATGCGAAATTTTGTTTTTTTAGTTGCGAAATATAGGTAACCCTAGCCATAACTAATCCTAGACTGTATTTCACTAAAATAAACAAATGTGATTTAAATTTAATGTTTTCTCCTAATTTGGAAACATTTCGAATTTAATATATTTAATAAATACAAACAGTTGGGTTTAAAGGACAAATCTGAATCAAATAATAATCCCAAAAATTTCACATGTTCTGTTTTTGTTATATTTAAGTTGTTAATCAATCAATAAATCGAAGTTAGTGTGTTTTGGCAAGGATGAAATTAAATTCGTTTTAGTTGTATTAAATAATAAGGATTGATCACTAGACCAGGTAGAAAATTTCAATAAAGCTTCATAAAAGTGGCCTTTAAAATGTTTATCACTAAACAGTAAAGTTGAATCATCTGCATAAAGAGTGGTAAATGACTGTGGTATATCAGAAGGTAGCTAAGATAAACCACTAAGGTCCTAGTATGGATCCCTGTTGAAACTCCTTGTGTATTTACCATAAGACGGGTGGTAGAAGCTCACCAAATGGCCACTTTAAAATTATTTATTTCGTTTACCATGATTTTTATAATTTTTTTCTACAACAATCCACAAAATTACATACCCCTTATATCTGTTCGTTGACGCCATTTAAAGTCCCAATGACTGATACACAAAAGTTAGAATGTTTTCAGTTTCACTGGTGCTAGTAGAAGGTGAAAACAAACCAATTAAACATTGAAAAAGCTGGACTAAAAAATGTGTAACTATAAGCTCTAATAGCCTAAATGGCAAGGCAGTGAAGCTTAAACTCGAGGATCCAGGTTCAAATTCTGGCTTAGGCACATTTTTGCAGTCTAGCTTTGCAATTTTTCTTTGGTTTGTTTTCACCTTGGGGCTGTGGGGATGGATGTCTTAATTTTCTATATTGGACATTTTTGGACATAGGTTTATTATCTAATTTGGCGTAAGATAGTGGGATTTCTTGTAGGTATATTATGTTCTTTTAGTTAAAAAATAACATCTATATTGCAGTGAGATAACCATGATGGGATAGTACAAGAGCAAACTTAAAATTGGACACTGTTCGTGACAAGAAGTATGGATACTCAATACGATTCACTGAGAAAGGAGAATGGACATTGGGTGTGAGGTGCAGTGCGAATGTAAAGTGTTAACCCCTCCCCCGTAAACTATTCTAGAAAATGACCTGATTAGGAACATTTCTACAATAAAAAATTTACCATAATTAAAACCTTTCACCCCCTTTTAAATTAACAAAAAATACACTTTTCTGTCAAGAAATCAATGGAGAACATTTTTAGCATTTGATAACTTAAGTATCAGTTTAATATTTACAATGAATCTAATCCAATTAATTAACCAGTGTCATGTTGTTTT